CCCGACTTTCAAATCTTCCAGATAGTAGTTACGGTAATTCCAATAATGGTAGCTAAATTTCATGTCTCGGTAAACGTATTGCGAATTGCACGGTCTGGTTCGTCTTAAAATAAGGAAAAAAAAGCTTCATTTGAGAGACATATTCGGATTTTCAAATTATAGAATAATCTCTACTCGTTTATAAAATTGATAGGTTATGCCGACAGTTTAGTCAAACATTTATAACAGGCTTCCAAAGTAGCGAGTACCTGTGCCTGTAGAGGCCAGATAGACATGTTGGGGATAAGCCGCACCGGCGGTGGCCGCAGCCATTTGAGCCTGTTGACTACTCGGTTGGGCGAAGACTATCTGCTGAGTGGTGCCGGAATGAGCCTGAGCGAGTAAGTGTTGCTGAGGGTTGGCCGCCGCCGCAGCAGCTGCCGCTGCAGCTTGACTGGCTTGCAATTGGGCGTGTGCATGTTGCTGATAAATTGTTTGGCCTAAATTGAAAAGAGGATGTAAATAATAAGGTTCAAAAGAAAATAAGGAAGAATAGGTGTGTAGGTGGGTAGACAAGTAGGAATGGACACAAATTGTCATAATCCTAAAGAGCAAACAAACACAACTCAAGACGCAAACTTACCAGGGATACATTAGATATCAGACCAAGAAGGTATGGCCTTCTGTTTGGTCACAACCTCGTTAGCTTTATATGGTTGAAGCGAGGCTGAGAGAAGGAGATGCGAAACTAGAAAGTAGAACAAAAAATAGTGGCGGGGAGTGATGCCACAACGGTTTAACAGAAAATTGGTCAAGAGGATAGCCTTCACTTGTTACTTTCATAGATTGTAACTCTGTGCTCGCGATTGCGCCTCTCATTGACGATGCCGGTAAAAAACTTGGGAATGTACCCGGCCAATGGTCCAATGCTGGAAATCATGAATACTATGGAAGATGACAAGGGACTAGGTACGTTCCACAAGATTCTTCATGACGCCGACACAATAAAGCTGAAGGAGACTGCGGCCAAACGGAAGTCCACACCATCTTGGCCTTTATATATATATATGATTTATAGTGTTGGTTTGACGCCTTTTTTACAACTTAATCGGAGCGTCAGTAAGACCTTTTCGAAAGTACCTGGTCCTGCGTCCTCTGTCATAGTACCCTTTATTTCCAGCATCGGAAAATAGACTTTTTACACTCCAAGACGTTTCGCCGACATAATCAGTGAGAGAGGTCAAATATATACCTAGCAGGTAAAGGACAATTATATTTTATTGTGTAATGAGACCTCTTAGAAAAAATGGTTATAAATCTGGTTACAGTTTGCACAGCAGGAAAGTACGTTCTTAGTGAATATTTCATGAAAGAAGTGTTGAACTATAAACTATACATGTTGTCTGACCTTGTTTTCGCAACTTGGTCATATTGGTAGAGAGACTTGAAGGAACGCACATAGTCCAGAGTCCACTGTATGCATGATCCTTTCCAAAGTCGGACCGTGGACGTGGTACTTTCCCAGAAGTTTCGCCTGCATCGTAGTCGGCATCGTCAGTGAGTCTCGCCATTCGTAGCACCATAGAACAGCTCGTCAAAAAGACAAGTGAAGCCGATCCTTTGTGTGTCTCTCTGGCGTGTTGTAATATGGTACTACGAATGGCAAGACTCACGATGCCGGCAAAACGTCTGGGAATGTACCACATCCACGGATGATGCATGCAATGGACTCCGGACTAGGTGCGTTCCTCTAAGTCTTCCTACCAATATGACCAAGTTGC